GATAATGAACAAATTGTTATTAGTAGAAAATTGAAAAATACAGATGCTTCTTTTCATTTTGATTTATTAAGAGTTGATGATGAGGATTGCAGTCATTATGTGTATATAAAAAGTTTGAGCAGACTTATTAATAATCAAAAAAGTAATCATAATGGTAAGTCCTATTTTTGTAAATATTGTAATCATGGATTTAGAAATGAAGAATTATTAAATAAACATTATGATAGTGGATGCATGGAAGTTGATGGTCAACAAATAGTAATGCCTAAGCCTTATGAGAAAGTTAGTTTTAAGCATCACTTCAAAAAGTTAAGGTGTCCTTTTGTTGTATATGCTGATTTTGAATGTTTGACAGAGGAACTGAAAAAACCTGATGAAGATGAAGATAAAAACACTTTTTCTTATCAAGAGCATAAGCCATGTGGTTTTATGCTTAATATGGTTAATGCTGTTGATAATACAAATTATGAATTTATGTATCGTGGTAAAGATGCTGTTGATGTGTTTTGTCAAAAACTTAATGAGATTAGGGCAGAAGTAAAGGAGAAGATGGGAGAAAACGAAAAAATAGACATGACTGACGAAGACAAAGAAGATTTTAAAAATGCTAAAAACTGCTTTATTTGTGGGGATAAGTTTAGAATGAACTATAAGAATGCCAAGGAAGCAGAGAAATATAGAAAAGTTAGAGACCATTGTCATTTTACAGGTAAGTATAGAGGTTGTGCTCATAATGTTTGCAATCTTAATTTTTGTAATAGATATTTTAAAATTCCTGTATTCTTCCATAACATGAAAAATTATGATGGCCATTTAATTATTCAAAATGCGGATAAATTAAGTAACAACAATAAAATAGGTGTCATCGCTCAGAACAGTGAAAAATTTATTAATATCAGTTTTGAAAGTTTGAGTGTTAAAGACACTTTTGGGTTTTTAACTGCTTCATTAGATAAGTTAGTTTCAATGAGTAAGTATGATAATACAGATGAAGAAGATAAAAGTAAATGGTTATTGCGTGAAGACTGGAAAGATAATTTTAGGTTCAGTAGTAAAAATGATTTGATTAAGAGTGAGAAATGTCTAGATTTATTAACTGATAAAGGTGTTTATCCTTATGACTACATGAATTCATTTGATAAATTTGATGATGAGCAATTACCGAGTAAGGATGATTTTTATAGTCAGTTGAGTGAAGAAGGTATAAGTGTGAACGACTATGAAAGGGCAAAAATTATATGGAAGCATTTCGACATTAAGAATATGGGTGAATACCATGATTTATATTTGAAAACTGATGTATTATTATTGACTGACATTTTCGAAAATTTTAGAGATGTATGTATGAAATATTATGGATTGGACCCTGCTTATTATTATACATTGCCTAACTTTGCTTTTGATGCTATGCTTAAAATGACTGGTGTAGAGATTGATTTAATATATGACCAAGAAATGTATGAAATGATAGAAGCGGGACTTAGAGGCGGGATGTGTATGGTTTCTACTAAAAAAGTTGAAGCAAATAATAAATACATGGGAGAAGAATATGATAAAAATAAAGAAAGTAGTTATATTAACTATTTTGATGCTAATAATTTGTACGGGTTAAGCATGATACAAAAACTGCCATATAAAAATCTAAAATGGGATGATACATTAAAAGAAGAAGACATTATTAATTACAAAAATAATAATATTGGATATATTCTAGAAGTGGATTTAGAATATCCTAAAGAATTACACGATTTACACAATGACTATCCAATGGCACCTGAGGTTATGAATGTTAAAGCCGACATGCTGTCAGATAAACAAATTGAAATTTATGAATTTTTAAATCATAAAAAACCTACGGATGAGAAAACAAATAAATTAATATTGAACTTAAATGATAAAGAAAAATATGTAATCCATATAAGAACCTTACAATTTTATTTGAAGCAAGGGTTAAAACTTAAGAAAATTCATAGAGCAATTAAATTTGAACAAAAAGAAGTTTTAAAACCTTACATTGAGTTTAACACTGAGAAGAGGAAGAATGCTAGAAATGATTTTGAGAAAGATGTTTACAAATTGATGAACAATGCCATATTTGGAAAAACAATGGAGGATAAGCGAAAACATTTAGACTTTGAAGTTGTGAGTGATGAAACTAGATATATGAAGTGTGTAAGTAATCCTAACTTCAAACATAGTCATATCATTAATGAAAATTTGGTTGGAGTTGAAAAGCAAAAAACAAAGTTGAAACTAGACAAACCTATATTTATTGGGATGAGTATTTTAGATTTGAGTAAGCAACACATGTATAAATTTTATTATGACGTTATGAAGCCTAAATATGGAGATAATATTAAAATGGTATATACTGATACTGATAGTTTTGTATTTCATACTAAAACCAATGACATTTATGAAGACCTTAATACAATTAAAAAAGAATTAGATTTTTCAGATTATCCTAAGGAACATAAATGTTATGATGATAATAACAAGAAAGTATTAGGTAAATTTAAGGATGAATTAAAAAGTAAAATAATAACAGGGTTTATAGCTCTTCGTCCTAAATGCTATGCTTACTCAGTTTATGGTGATGATAAAAAATATAAGAAATGTAAGGGCATAGCAAAAGGCACAGTAAGACGTCAAATGAAATATGAAGAGTTTGAGACGGTTTTAAAAACTAATGAGGTTATACATAAGTCATTTAATAGTATTAGAAGTAAAAACCACAGAATTTTTAGTATAACAACTAAAAAAATTGCTCTTAGTAGTTATGAAAACAAAAAATATTGGATAGATAGTATAAACTCACTTGCTTACGGCCATTATAAAATAAATTCTTTGAAAACGACTTAAAGAAATATTGACTTAATATATTATAATAGAAATGGTTGAATTTACTAAAAAAGAGCAAGAAGAAATTATTAATGACTTTTTGAATAAAATAAAAGTTAATGACATTATCAGTAGTTGTAAATGTAAACTAATAAATGAAAAAACTAGGACTAACTAAGTTAAATTTACCTAATCCAATTGTTAAAAACATTTGTGATTTTAATTATGTTGAATGCGAGAAATGTTTTTTATTAAGAAATGCAAAGCAAGTTTTACATAAAAGTAATTTACATTCAACATTGAGACAATGTATTTATGATAAATACAAATTGAAATTTGAAGAAAATACATTTCTAAATGATGACTCATCATTAAGAACATATTGTTTTATAAAGTTAAATACATTTCCTACATATGAAAAAGTGAAAAAATATATACTGCAAGATAACGAAACATATATTTTAAAATTTTATAATGATATTAAATATTACTACGAACAATCATATGAAGTTAGTTATGGTGGCAAAACTGGAACAACAAGACCAATTGAAGAATTTAATAATAAAATGATATTTAAATTTATTGATGAGTATGATTTATCAAATAATAAAATTGAAAATGATTGCAAGGAAACATTTTTAAACTACATAAAACAAAGAAACCAAGAATTGAAAATCATAATTGATAAAATATGTGATTATATTCAGGATGAACAGAAGAACAATATAATAGGTAAATTAATGTATGGTGATGTGATAAATGATATTAAAAGTGTTTTAGGAAACTGGAGCATAGGTTTTTGCATTTATGATTTTGCTGATAGAAAATATCCATTTAAAAATAATAAACAGAACTTTAAACAAATACCAAAGATTACAAAGGAATATTTAAATACTAATGACTTTGATTAAAACCATACTATAATTATCACATGTAAAATATTATATGTTATAATTGTAATATATTTATCGTTTGTAAAGATTGAATTATTATAATTTGCTTATCTCTTTCAAAGTGCGTTGTTTAGACTTGGCATGCTTCTTCAATTTTTCGTGCTTTGGCTGTTTGTTTTTGTTTTGTTTGATACTCTTATGATATTTTTTGTTGGTATGTTGCTTTGTTTTTTGTTGATGTGTGTTTTTGAGTTTGGGTTCTTTGATGATTTAGAGTGTTGCTGTTTTGTTGGTATGCTTGTTTGAATTATTTAATGTTGCATGCTGTGATTAAATATTTTTGTTGCTGGTTGTGATTATTTATTTTGTTTGCTTGTTGTTCTGGATTTTGTTTTCTGTTTGTTGTGTTGCTGTTGGAAAAAATAGTAGAAAGAATAATTCTTTGAATTCTCCTTTTACTATTTTGGGGGAGGGAGGGGGATGGGCCTCCGGGAGGGGGGGGAGGGAGGGGAGAGGGAGGGAGGGAGGGATGGGAGGGAGGGAGGGAGGGAGGGAGGGAGGAGGGAGGGAGGGGAGGGGAGGGAGGGAGGGGGGGAGGGAGGGAGGGAGGGGAGGGAGGGATGGGAGGGGAGGGAGGGAGGGAGGGGAGGGAGGGATGGGGGGAGGGAGGGAGGGAGGGAGGGAGGGGGGAGGGAGGGAGGGAGGGGAGGGAGGGAGGGAGGGAGGGAGGGAGGGAGAGAGCGCTAAACATGTGATGTTTAGTCATGTTTAATCCAGATATGGTCAAGTTGGGAGGGACACGGGGAACTAAATGTCCCCATGGGCCGCCGAATTATTTTCCTGAGGTTGCATGTTTTGACCCTACGGACTGGTCGAGTTGACCTTTGAAGGGAAGAAACGGAAGGATGGCACGATGATGCAGTTAAGGTGATGGACTAGTAGAATCCGCATGCAAGCTATGCTGGGAAACAAACAGTCATGGCTACCGGATTGACCTGTGGGGTTCATTCTTTGTCCCGCGCACTTCCTGTCGCACATCACATGTGTGGAGTGGAGTCAAATACTTTCCGCAGCAAAGGCTTCAAGGCTTGACAATTCCAAGCTAGGCTGAGTGAGACATGTGGATGTGTGTCAAGATACCGAACCCAAAAAAATATGTTTTCCTTTTGGATCCTCCTTCCTCTCCCACCAGTACAAGCCCGAACGAAGGTACCCCGACACAACACAGACTTCATGTTTTTGCGCCTCAGCTTACCAAGCCGCCAGGTCACAACTGTGCAACTGTCAGAATGCGGATTGTTGCCGGGCTGCTGGGCATGCCGGCAAGGGCTCTTGGGAGATGAGTTTGTCTTTTGAGGCAACGCTTTGGGGTTGGTTGTAACAGGAAGCTACATGGACAACTTCGAAGCGGATTTGTTATCCCTCTATTTTGAGTCCCAGATGTGCCCGTTTGGCTACCTCGGAAACTGGAGCAGATACCAACTGCCAAGTGCTTAGATAGATGTGCCCTGATGAGCGTGTTTGCCTCGCTGATGCTTAACACACTGGACTGCGAATGCTCCATTATTGAGCTGATGAGAAACAAGCTCCAGTAAGCCCTCCAGGAAATCGGCCCAACCCAGCTTTGGGGAAAAAAATCCTGGAGCTGGTTTCTCAGAAGCTAACGAAGCTTTTGAATCCATGCGTCAATAAGCAAAGATCTCCAATGCGAATCATTGCTGAGTGATCACCATAGTAGGTTCGGTCAAATGCTTAATTGCGTATTGCATTGTTTATGGTCTCTTTGGTAGGCGCAAGGGCATTCGCTAAACTCCAAACCACAACCAGGTCTCATGTCCTTAACGGCAACCGAATGTTTGAAAAAGGTGGCTCCCAGAACTTGCTCTTAACAGGACGCGCGAGCCTTAGCGAAGCATCAGTTGCAAGGCCAGCCATGTGGTTTTGTCTCAACATAATTGGGCCTCAAAATGGTTGGTCTCCTTTTTGCTTCCCCTTTAAACCGGCCAAAAGCGAGCCCCCTCCAAAATAAATAAATCGATAAATTAACCAACAATACCTGACAATTTGTGTGTGTGTGTTTGTTTTGATGGGGATGCTGGGGCAATTTGGGCTGACTCGGAAGGCATCCTTTTGGGGGAATGGATCGTTCTTTGTTTGGGTCCCTGATGATGAGGCAAAGTCTCTTTCTGCTGTTCCTTTCCCAAAATCCAATCTGTCATTTGACTGCGGCGTTCCACCCGAATACGTTGCAACAGTGGTTAACATGGGTAAAATGAAACCTACAAAGAAGAGACCACGCAACACAAAATCACTAATTTGTCTAAAGAAGCCAACTGCCTGGAGAGCTGGCTGATGATCCATGATCAGACATTGCCATTTGGCCAAAGGAAGGAAAATGTCGGAAAAGAGACAGAGAGAGAGGGAGAGACAGCGCAAAATGGTAGCTGCTGTTCAGGTTTCACCGAAACGCAAGAGGGATTAGTGGTTGAATATGTGTGGATGACCCTTAACCTGGTTTTTGGGCTAAACCCACTTACATTTGCTTAAGAATGTGCGTTATTTTTCCTCTGTTGGTTTTTAATGGAATCCATGATTGGATTTATGTTCTCCAGAGGCTACAGGTACATACTAGGTCGGTACTACTTCGTCTTCGCCTACGTCACTGGCCCCGAGGGGGGGCTGAACGGCACCTTGAGCCCAGCTGTGGAGATCTTCGTTCCCACGGCCGGCGCCCCAGTGCGGGGGTTACACACAATGTTTGTTGTGCCTCCATACAAGTTTTGTCAAAATTACCAGTATATCGTCCATGATTTACTTGAGAGCATGGTGGAACTCACCAGATGTCCTCTAATTGTCGCGTGTCCTTTGGACATGTGGGGATATGTTTTCCCTTTTCATTGGATTAAAGGGAAGCCAACGTATTGGAAACCGCCCATTTTCGGGACCCGTGCCCTATTGAGACCCCTCCACCGAGCCCTAAGGCCTCCAATAGCTTTGCACAGATGCCGCTGCTGCTGGCGACGCCCACCACCACGGAAGTGCAGCTTTCCTTCTCGGCCACCCAGGAGTTCGGCCTGGCATGGGCGCCTCGAGGGGTACATGTCAACCAAAAAACCCACCCGTCTCCAAACTGAACCATGTCAGAGGGTAGCTACCCCTGAGAAACACCTTCATTTGTGTGCCAGTTTTTGGGCGGAAGGAACAAAGCAAGCTTCTGGTATTCACCGTTGTTGTTTTATCATGGGTCAACATCCAAGTGGGTGTGCCTGTTTGGAGGTTTTGTTGTTGATCTTTGTGGGTTGGCTGGAAGTTGGATATGTTTGCAATGTGATGGTGAGTGAGCAATCCACAAACGCTTGTCAAAGCAAATGGGTATCGAGGGGTCATACAACACTGCGGGTGTCAAGAACCCGCAAACGCCTGAAAGGGACGAATTGCATTTGTTCTGCGGTTTATGGTTGTATTTGTGTTGCGAAGTCGCGAGCCCTGCAATGCTTTGAAGTGGGTCTGCTCAAAAGTTGTCCAGACCTTGCGAGGTCGCTCGCATCAGGTGATGCTAGTGGATGCGTGGCTTGCGTACAACGTGAGCATCGCCAATGTGAAGACCTTCCAGAATGCAGTCACTTGGCTCGACAATGAGCATGGGTCGGTACTACCCCGGAACCGTGCAACAACGATGACAAGGCGCCTATGATACAGGAAAAAGCAAAGGATTTCAGCTTGATCCAGCCCCATTGTGCCAGCCTTGCCTATTTGCCCCCGTTTGATTTTTATCATCAACTGTTGGGCCAGTTTGAAGAAGTTTTCCTGTTGGGGTGATGCGCTTCGGTTGGAAATATAGGGAACCCTGTACTTCCTTCTAAGGGAAGCTTAGCCCGATGTGTCACACCAGGGTTGCTCTCAGGGGAAGCCAGAGGGAAACCGGCTGGTCCATTTGCAGACCACTGCACATCCTGACAGCCTACGGGCGAAGGGAATCAATTGACCTTGACATGTTACCCTGTTGGGAGATCTCATGAGAGTAACAGACTTAATTCCAGCGCAAGTCATAACTGTACTAGTGTACCATTGATTTTTGGCACTGGGGCCCAATCTCAAGTTCCCCAGTGAGCAAGTGGCAAGACTTTGTGGCTCAGCGTAATGCGTTGCTCTTCGCTGAGGTGGGTGGCACTAGCTGTCGCAAGGAGGCCATCAGCATCAGCACCTCCATTCAGGACTGATATGGACTGACAGGGATAGGTCCAACGTTTCCACTGGAGCCATCAGACTGCCACAGATATAGCACACTTCGGAAATGTGTGTGTGTGTGCGCGTGTGCTTTTGCATTTGGGGGCGACGTTTTTACCGGAGGCCCTACTTGCAACGTGCATGATCTTGTGGGTGAAGTAGTTGAAGGCGATATAGGATACACTTGCATAGCTCATGCAAGAGATGACACAGGTAAGCTGGAAGGCCTCAGTTCAGCACCCAGAACCTCAGCCTCTGGAGCAAGATTTCTCTGCCAGCATCTACAGTAGATCTGCAAGAAGAGGCACTGGAGCATGTCCAACTGGTCTACAGACTGAAGGATGCTCCCGGATGCTTTTGCAGCCATGCCTTTATCGCCGTTCAGGCTTCATCCGACCTGTGTTCCTGCAAAGATTGCTTTGCTGTAATAATGACAAGCTGCAAGAACACACCGCAAGCATCGCAAGCTTATAAGCTCTTGCTGGCTTCGTCAGCAGTTGGTTATCGTCACGCCTTGTCATGTGGCCCAGAGAAGGATGTTTGGCCCAAGGAGGTTCTTCTGGCAGAGTCAGCGCCTAATGCACGGGATGGTTGCAACTCGCCAATCCAAGCGGGGTTCAGAGGAGCTGCTGCAGGTGTCGTGAGAATTGAAAAGACGAGTGCACATGAGGTGACCTCATTTCCGATGGTATGTACGTCGCAGTCGTGTACATTGAGGATACCAACGGAGACTTGGCTTAAGCGAGCGTGGTCATTTTCCCAAGACAGCAACCTTCCCTTAGACCACGCTCATGATTCAACAGGACCAATATCAACTTCAGTCAGGCTCAACCACCTGCCCGTGACCCGGAAATGTAGAAGTGACTATTGTAAGTACAGAAAATACATATATATATATATATATATATATACATATGTACATATAAAGGGTATTCTGGGGATATGTTTTTCCCCAAACAGTTTACTCTTGGGGTTCTTACTCTTCCAAAATAGAACGGGCCGCATGCTGCCAGATCGCCGGGCCGCATGCTCGCCAGTGCACACATTTACTTGTCTCCCAGCATGCGCCTTAAGTTGTCTCCCAGTGCTGCCAGGTTGCTCGGGCGGCATGCTCGCCACTCCCAGCACGTGCCTTTAGTTGTCTCGCTGCCAGATCGCTGGGGCCGCATGCCAGTGCGTGCGTTTGCTTGTCTCCCGGCACGTGCCTTGAGTCGTCTCCCAGTGCCAAAACCATCCAAGATTGAAAAATCCCAGCGTGCCATGAAAAGCTCTGCAATTCGAGCGCGCCATGAAATCAGCAAAATTTCAATGTTCCAAGATTGGTTTTCCTCAAAACCAATATTGCTTTTTGCACACCAAAATTCGGGAGAGGTTTTTCTAAGAACTCAATAGCAGTTTACATCCAAGATTGGAAAGTCCAGGATTTCAAATAAAACTTTGCTCAGCAATGAGATGAATGCATGGCATGTTCCAGCCACATGGCCATATGTCAGCCAAAGCGCTTAATCCCACCTTCCTTCCCAAAATCTCCTCCATGAGGTCCCACTGGCTCTGGAAGAACATATGGTCACATGGCCATGGCTTTCAGCCAGTCTGTTGGTTTGCACCACAGTCATGGCATCAGTCTCCAAAGTGATTGTCAACTTGCTACAACAAACACCAAAACTCCGCCGTCGGCGCGTAAGAGTGTTCTTTGTTCGCGCATAAGCGGTTCCATTGTCGGCGCATAAAAGTGTTCTTTGTGGGCGAACAAGCGTGCTCACTGTCGCCGCACAAGAGTGTTCCTCGTTGGCGCACCACCGTACCCAGTGTTGGTGCACACACGTGTTCCCTGTTGGCACGCAAGCGTGCTCACTGTCGCCGCCAAAGAGTGTTCCTCGTCGGCGCGTCATCAAGCCCAGCGTCGGCGCACACAAGTGTTCATTCTTGGCGCACAAGCACGTTCACTGTCGGCGCATAAAAGTGCTCACTGTTGGCGCACACAAGTGTCCACTGTCGGCGCTCAAGCTGTTTCGTGTTTTTTTTCATGCCGGAGATGTGAGACGGATGCCATGTCTTCTTCATGCGATCAGCCCAGCAAAAGCTTTATTAACTGTGGCTTTTGAAGCGCAAAAGCGTGTCCACTGCCGGCGCACAAGAGTGTTCCTTGTTGGCGCATCAGCGTGCCCACCGTCAGCGCACAAGAGTGTTCCCTGTTGGCGCATCATCGTAGCCAGCGTCGGCGCGCAAAGTGTTCTCTGTTGGCGCACAAGCGTGTTCACTGTCGCCGCGCAAGAGTGTTCCAAGAGGAAAGCAACTTGGGCAGTCCATCAAGCAGACACATTTGTTGTTGGCTTGACCTGCATCATTGTGGTCTTACAATCTGTTTGGGGTCTACGCTGGTATATTTTTGATTATGATTGCTACATTCGGTAGCGTCTCGAAAGTTTTGTAAAGACTATAGGTGTAATGCTTTTTCACCTTGTTCCTCTCTTTCCTTGCCTCTTTCTCTTTCTGTGTTTCCTTCTCTTGCGCTTCCTATTGCTCTTCTCCTTCCTGTTCTCTTGCTTTGTTGTGTTTCTTGTTTTGCTTTCTCTTCTTTTTCACGTTCTCTTTGTCTCACACTATCTGTAGCTGTATCTTTCTCTTTTCCATCTCTCGATCACTAACCACCTACCTATCTACCTAGCCACCTACCTACCCATTTTTTCTTATCCACCCACCCACTATATTCTACCTTATCTATCTATCTATCTATCTATTTATCTACGCGTTTGCCCATCCATTCGTTCATCCACATTTTTTGTCTGTCTATTCCACTTCCAAAATCGGTACGTTTCTTGACCCATCCAAATTTGCATTTTTCCATCCATTTGCTTATTTGTCTATCTACTTGCCTGTCTATTGAGCTAGCTATCTAGCCTTTTTAATCTCACTTTCATCGATCTGTCTACTTAATCAAGTCTATTTCAGTTCATCGTTCCCTTTATATTCTACCTATCTGCCATCTATTTGTCTTTCTATCTCATATTTCTTCAAATCTTGCTTTCTGTTCTCACGCGTTTCTCCCTAATCTATTTATCTATCTATCTATATCTCTATCTGTCTATCTACTTATCTATCTATCTATCTATCTATCTGCCTATCGATCTTTCTATTTTTTATCTTCCTATCTATCTACTTTCCCATCTACTCATCTAATATGACTCTATTTAACCTACTAGGAGTCTGCTTATCTAGCTATCCAGCTATCATTTTGCTATTTGTCTTATCTTAGGAAATGCGTACCTGGCCTTGCGAAAGTGCTGCGCCTGCCTCAAAATCTGCACCTGACCCCAATGGGATTTGCGACGCTTCCGTGCCAGCATTGCGAAAATGCCGCGCCTGCCACGCAATTCGCGCCTGAGTCCGCAAAAGTGCCTGAAAAATAATGCGATTTTGTTGGTCCAGAACGTCGCGCCAGCCAAGAATGTACACCTCAGGCTAAAGTCTCGCGTCCGCAACACAATCTGACCGCCGATCCAACAAATGACTGCGCCTGCCACGCAATTTGTAGCTCTGAGCTTGCCGAAGTGCTGCGCGTGTTCGGGCCAATGGGCCCGGGCCCGAGCCCGCTTCGAGACCGTCCCGAACCCGTCGGCCATCAAGTGTCGAAATCGAGCTTTCAGCCCAAAGCCCGCAGAGGGCCACACCCACGCATGCTTTCTCGCAGAAATTCATGTTTTCTTCATCTTTTCTGCGCGCACTACCTTCCAAACTTCTATTTCCAAACCCAATAACCTGGCGAGTCTTGGCTTCCTCACATGTGGACAAAGAGGCATCGGCACCATGTGACTGACCCCACGAATCGCATTTGCGACTCCAGCCTGACGCACACTGCAATGGCGCGGCGGAGCCCCCAACAAGGGTCCCGCTTTCCTTGGCCCCTTGAACCAACCCTACAAAAGAATTTCCAAAACAAAGTTGGGGCTTTGCTTCCCTTTCGTGCTTCATTAAACCAACTCTAAAAAGACTGACCCAAATTGGGGCTCTTGGAGGTCTTGATGATGGTTCGCTCGAAAAGCTCCTGGTCCACGTCATCCCAGAACTGCCTGCGTCGAATGCCACAACGCACCCAAGCGAGAGCGGGGCGTGGGAGAGGGTTTGATCGGCCTTTTGAGGGTCATTGGGATACGTCAAAAAAAGCCTGCCACAGGGAACCAAAACCAAAGCTCTGTCTTCAGCCGGTTTTGGGGAGGCCAGAGTTGGGTCGAGTTTTGACAGATGAGACAAAGCAAAGAGGTGTGCCCTGTTTCACGGAAAACCAACCCGCCACATTCAATCCAAACCCCTCCCATGTTCTGGTTGCCAGTGTATTTTTCCCGCGGCAACCCCGCAACAACAATTTCCCAGCGGTTGTTCTGCAATTGTCCCACCCTCCAAACATTCATGCCCTCATCTGTCTTTGTTCAACAACAAACAACTGTCCGATTGTTTTGCAACAACAGCCGCGTCCGAGCAAAACAGAAACTTGTTTGCGCGTTTGTGCTTGGAGTTGTTGGTCGCTTGCTTTGTTTCAAATGTTGGTAAATTCCAGTGGTGCACATAGGCCCTGCTTCTCAGGGTCACAACTGACGCTTCCAGCAACAAGACCGTCACAAGCCTCGGCCACATCCGTGTGACCTGGCTCCAGAAGGAGACCGACGCTGGCGGGCCTGTGGATCGATACCGCGTGTTCTTGAACGGGACGGAGGCGCAAGCATCTTACATAGGCAGTCGGCGCTCGGCCAACATGTTTCCATTGGATCGTTTTTCCAAGACCAGTTTTGGCTTTCTTAAATGAGTCCGCATGTCCCATGTTTTCCACGTGGATGCTGAGACTTTTCATATCCAGCTCCAAAAAGTGGAGCGCGGTGCAACTTGTTGTTGTTTTTCTGGCAATCCCTAGGTTTCCAAAACAAGGTGATTGTCCTAAGAACCAAGGAATGGTTAAATTGTATACTCAAATTCTGTATTTTGTTGCATAGCAATGATTCCAAAACCTGAAAGAATTAGATCCCCCACCCCCACCCGGGATAGGACCTTGATCATGGGCTCGCAGACCGGTGAGCTCGCCACAATATAGACAATAATGTGCATGAAATTGTACACAAGTGAAAGTAGATGGCTATGAATTTTAACAGGGAACCGCTTCAAAAGTGGTTGACGGACATGAATCCCCACCTAACTGATCTCGAGATGTCCATCGCAGGTCTATGACGACTTCGGCATTCGAAGTAGTCTGGAACAGTCCCGTGCTGGCTCCCCACCCCAGTGGGTGCGAATGGTGGACCTTGCCTGCACTCCAGGTGTGGTACATGAATCATGAATCATTGGCTGGCACGTTTGCATGTCGGCGCAGGCACCAGTTTTCAGATCACCTTGTCCGGCAGGAATTATGGCGGCTGGCGCCTTTGCCAAAATAACAGCATAATACGTCGCCGAGCGCGCTGTGCGCTTTGACCAAGGGCAAATGCTCTTCTCGCCGAGGTCGGCACTCAGCGACCCGCTGGATACTGGTTGTTTCCTTACACCAGGCAGCACATCTAACCTACATGAGGCAGGAGACGCAAGAGAAAATTGTGCTGAACCCAACAAGAAATGAAGCTAGAGCCCATTGAATAAAATCGAATCCCGGCCCTTTTGGAGCTTGCCATAAACGTTGCTGCGTACCTGGGGATGGGCATCAAAAAATCCTATTAGGGATCAAAAAAGCTTACAGGACATCAAAAAAAACTATTAGGGATCAAAGGAAGACTTCGTCTCATTCCTTTGGGGAGAAGGAAGGAAGGAAAGAAGGAACGAAGGAGGGAAGGAAGGAAGGAAGGAAGGAAGGAAGGAACGAAGGAGGGAAGGAAGGAAGGAAGGAAGGAAGGAAGGAAGGAAGGAAGGAAGGAAGGAAGGAAGAAAGGAATCAAGCAAGGAAGGGAGGAGGGAAGCAAGGAAGGAGTTCCATTCGGGAATCGGCGGATACACACTTTGTTGGCTCATCACTTCTTCGATCATCATTGGGGGTGTCTCTCTTTCTCTCTCTCTCTCTCTCCCTCCTTTTTCTCTCTTTTTCTGCATGCTTATGTCTTTGTATCTTTCTCTTCCTCGCTTGCAAAAGTGCTGCGCCTGCCACAAACTCTGCACCGTACCTGGCGAAAGTGCTGCGCCTGCCGCGAAATCTGCACCGCACCTTGCGAAAGTGCTGCGCCAGCCGCGAAATTGCAAAAGTGCTGCGCCTGCCGCGAAATCTGCACCGCGCCTTGCGAAAGTGCTGCGCCTGCCACGAACTCTGTACCTGACCTTGCGAAAGTATTGCGCCTGCCGCGAAATCTGTGCTTGACCTTGCGAAAGTGCTGCGCCTGCCGCGAAATCTGTACCTGACCTTGCGAAAGTGCTGTGCCTGCCACGAAATCTGCACCGTACCTTGCGAAAGTGCTGTGCTTGCTGCGAAATCTGTACCTGACCTTGCGGGCCTGCGCCTGCCGCGAAATCTGTACCTGACCTTGCGAAAGTTTTGCGCCTGCCACAAACTCTGCACCGTACCTTCCGAAAGTGCTGCGCCTGCCGCGAAATCTGCACCGTACCTTGCGAAAGTGCTGCGCCTGCCGCGAAATCCGTACCTGACACTGTGAAAGCGCTGATCCTCTGAGTCTGGAATTTAGTAGGGAATCTAAGAGAAAATTGCTTGACCCCTAAGAAGCCTTTTTGATCTTCAGGAATATGTTGTTTTTTGATGCCTACAAAGTTGTTTTTGGATCCCTCACCAACCTGGGCGAAGGTTAGCGTTGAACCGCCGCCTAAAGTGTGTGCACTGCACATGCACATGCCATCTGCCACGTTTGAAAGAGAATGCCACAGAGCACTCAAGACAAATTATCCTCGCCTCAAGACTTCTCAATACCAGCAGAATTGCCGGAAAATGAAGCCAGCAAGGCCTGGGATGCAAGCCCGTATTTGCACATTCCTACAACAGCACGAGACAAGCACACCTTCCAAAGTATTTTTAACAACAAGTTGTGATCGTGCTGGAGATGTGTCCAACAATGGACGTCTATTGACAATCACAGAAACACGTGCAGATCCGAACGCCTTGTCCTGGCGCTTCCGACTGGGGATGTGAAATTGGGCGGCGAACCTGCAGGTTACCTGTGTTTTTCACAAGGGCCATGGTCCCGTGAAGCCCTCGGGAATTGATTTCAAGGATCCTATGCCCCGTTGGATTGGAACCTAGTTTCTGACGTCGCAGGTCCCTGGAAGCAGAGGCACGGCCTCTTTGTCTTTGGCTTGGACCGCGCCAGTTGACGTTGCTGGTGCAGAAACGGTGCCTTTGTCAGATGTGGACTTAGGTGGCTTTGTGGGCAAATCGTAAACGCCAGAACTTTTTAGCTCTTTGCTGCGCAACTAGGCCTTCTACAACGTTTACCGGGACCAGGGCCTCCGTCAAGCTCTGTTCCAGCTCATTGGCACCAGCGTTGTGCCGAGTTTCCATGACACTGGTCTTGATGCCGGAAGAGCCTATGGTTACCAGGCTCGTTTCAGGGCTCTCTGCCTTTTCAGGTGTTTCAAAGATCACTTTTAGGGCCATTTGAAGTGAGTTTCCTTCAAGTGGGGTGATGTTTAAGGGGGATACATGGACCCCAGAGTTTCCAAAAGTATGCAGTGACTTTGCTTGCAACTGGTCACGCCTGGACAGGTCGCAGCTGTGAATGCTTTTGGAGAAGGACTGCCAACATTCAAGCAACTGGTCCCATGTCCATCCCTCCCTCCCGTCCTCCCTCGCTTGCTCCCTTTTTGCGCGTCAGTAAATGCCATTTGCACATCCGTCCGTCCGCATCCAGCCATGCATGCATGCATATGTACACCCATACATCAATCCATTCCAATCCAATCCACCTTCATGCAGAGCCTTGGCACGAACCGACCGGCACATATCGAGACATGCATTTACCCATGGCACATGCTACCACCGCTTGCAGGACCCGTCAGCGACGTGCTGTTTGTGCAAGCTGTGCCCACGCCAACCACAAGCGCAACGGACCGGTTTTGGGTCGGAAAGGTACGGAGAGGAGCCAAGTTTTGGAGCTCGGCGCGTCAGGAGCTGATGGGCATTTTGAATCAGGCAAGCATCCAGCTGAGCCCACCTGCCACACATGGTGTCCTGGATGAGGCAGGTGTCAGCTTTCGTGTCTATTCCAGTCTTTCCTCGCGATTGTGTTCTTGTTTGCGCTGCTCATGGCCAGTTGGATGGCGTGGTGCAAATCTACAGTGCCCATTATCTGCATATTTGGCTCCTTGCGGCAAGTTGATTCGAGATACAAGCGACCCAAGGACGTGGCGCGGGACCTGCGTGCCACTTGGCCTGCACAGACCTGGATGCTTTGTTGGTCTGATTTTAGATGTGGAAGCGCCGCACTCGGCGGTTTGGGGGCCTTCACATACAAGTGGCGCTTGTTGACGGTGCTGAGGTAGAAAGCTATGCGAGTCAGCGGTTGGCCCACCTGGCGATCTTTGGGCCAATCATTTTGACCCTCGAGGCAGGATCCGTTGAGCCAGACAAAGCGTCTCTACCCGCAAGAGGCTACAGAGTGATGCCTCAAGCTGAGTTTTGCGCAGGTGATTGATCTGGTCGGCAGCACGGGGGAGAACGACCCATGCCAAGAAGCTCGGTTTGCCCTCGATGTACGAGCAGCCCGGCAGAAAAGTGACGCAGGCGGCTGCACAACAAGGCACTGATGTTATGATGTTCAAGTAGACTTGCTGAAGGAGGGCTTGCCTGACTTTACTGCGGAGTCCGCGTTTGACATGCAAACTGCCAAGGGCTCGCATGAAGAGTTTTGCGCGGGCGATGCTGGTGGTGGCATGGCCTGGACGTTGCAGCGGCTGGCCCAGAATGAGTCGTTGGGAAGAGCATGTCAGCAAGTGGCTGCAGGAAGGTCAATGCAGTACTGAGTTTGATACTGCTGGAAGGTATGGCGAGTTCGCAATCGTCAGCTGGAAGACAGGCTGGCTCTCCGCGAGCACGACATCATTGAATGGATGGTATTTGTCGCTGAAGCCAATTGTTTCTTGACGACAACCTGAGAGCAGAGAAAGGATTCCAAGCACACCATGCCTTTTTCCAATATGTGCAAATATCAAGCACGTACACCCCAAACCCCTGCACCCACACAACCCTGGACAGACCAAACCTACACCAAACCAAAGAGCCCTGCAAACAGCCCCGTAAGCCAACCCAACCAATCACGCCCTGAACAACCTCGTATTTCGATATATTTACAAAGCTATTATTTGATTATAAAAATAAATAAATATGATTTTATTAAATATTGTAATTTGCAAAATATAAATATTTTTTGAGATTTGAATTTGGTTTGATTCATTAATAATTGAAAAACATAATTATGTGTATATGAATTGATAAAATGATGTTTGAATAATTATGTATTTTATATTATTTATGTTTTGGTGATTAATTAATATTGATTCTATAATTTGTTATAATTAATTGTTAAAAATGAATTAAATTTTAAGAAATGGATATAATTTGATTTATTAAAATATAATTTAATGGGTTAAAAGATAATTATTAATATTTGAAAATATAAAAATAGGTGATTATATATATATATATGTAATTATGGGTTTTAATTTATTTTATGTGTGTTTATTAAAACGAAAATTGTAAATAAAAATTGGTAAAATATATGCTAGATTATTTTAATATATTAAAATAATGATTTTTAAATATATATTTTTTGATATAATGATATATATATATATATGTATTAAATTGTGTATTTATATATATAGACGTGTTTTCTGGTTTTTTTTGTTATGGTTATGGTGGTCTTAAATATGTTTTTTTTGAATTTGTTGGATTTGTAGGTTATGGTTATTTTGTAAAAGGTTGTTTTTTTTAAATGGTGTTGGAGGTGGGTTTTGGTTATGGTTAAGGTTTCGAGTGATTTTTTTGGGATGTATTTAGTTGTGGAGTTGGATATATTTTTGATAGCGAAAATAATTTATGGTTATTTGTAAAAAAAAAATGTTATGAATATATTGACCCAGATTTTGAAACGGATAATATGAAATATGTTAATTAATATTACGAACATTTTATTTAATACTTGTTTCTATTGAAAATAGAAAAGAATATTAAAAAAGGCTTTCTTAAAAAAACCAAATTTATATTAGAAAAGATTTGGAATTTATTATTAAAATAAAATAGAAAAAAAAAATATATAGAATAATTGGTTTTTCGTTACTACGTTTTGCGCGCTCTTTTGTAGGTACACCGACGAAGGGCTCGACGCAATCTCGTGTGTTTTCTTTTGGTGTGTGATGGAAATTGTTTGGGGGATTATATTTTTAGATTGATATTTTAAATAAAAATGTAAATATTGGTAATTTAATAGATTTGGGATTTAATTATTAAATTAGAAGAAGTAAAAAATATTGTAAATAGAGTGGATTTGAATTTTATTATTTAAATTATAAAAATTAATATATGATTTTGTTTTATTAATAAGTATGGTAATAATTATATTTTAAATAAACTTAATAATATAAATTGAAAAGGAAAATATTATATTTAAAATTAATATAATATATATTTATAGATTTATATTTATTTTTTTAAAAAAAAATGAATATTAAAAAAAATCGAATTATATTTATAAATAATTATTTAAAATAATTATAATATATAATTAAATTAAAATTAAATATTAAAATAATTCGAAATCTAATATAATCTAATTAAAATATTTTATATTTATTATATATATAAATTATAGTATACATATAAATTATAGTGTATATATATATAAATCATATATATATATTGAATAAATATATATTTTGAAATTTTTTATTTTTTTTAATAATTATATTAATTTCATTTTAGATTATATATATTAATTAAAGAAATAATATTTAATCAAATCTATAAGTATATATAGTGTAAATTGTATCTTTTAAAATATTCTATATTAAAATAATAAATATATAGTTCATAATTAAATTTATTTATTGATATAATATATAATATGATTAACATATAAATCATTTTAAATATATCTATATTTTCTAAAAATAATATTATTTATTTAATCCAAATCAATTAATCAATTTAAAAAATATAATGTAAATATCATTTTATGTCTAATTCTCGGTTTTCATTAAAATAACATATAATCATAATATCTACCATTGTTTTTTTAAGAGCAAAACAATATAATCCTTTTGGGAACAAAAAATAATAAATAAGAAAATTTAAAAACATAATTAGAAAAGAAATAAAAAGAAAAACATATGGAAAAAAAAAAATAAAAAAAGAAAAAAACAAGAAGGCTATAACAAAACTACTATATCCACAATTAAGCAAAATATAAAACACAAGATTTAGAAAAGATACACAAATAACTAAGAAATAAAAAAGAAACAGAATTGCTCCAAATGCCCAAACCGCAAATTGCAAATAAATGCAAGTTAGACGCTGTACTAATTTTCAATCTTACCCAAGCCTGAAGCCTCAAGCCACTAACTCTGATTGCGATCAAACACACACATACATACACGTATGTTACAGCCACACTCCTGGTAAGACCAAATGCGGAATATCCGAACTCCAGGGATCCATAATTGGATTGGAATAATCCGAAAATCCTATTTTTGGCAAGTCGAAGGACTTGGTTGGGTATGCTAACAGGCTTGCCAGGCGAGACTGAAACAAACACAGTGTTTGGTTTGAAAGCCTGGATTCAGCTCAGCGCTATGCAGCGGCAGTGGATTCAACGTCCGCTCTTCTGGGGAAGTATCGGCATCATTACGCTGTTGCCTGGACTGCGAGGGCTGCTGCCAGCTGCTGCTCCATTCCCATGACCATGACTCGCCCCACTATCACTGAAATGCCGTTTCAACTCGTCCAAAATACACTTCCATTAAATGTGCAAATCCTTCAGGCTCATGCTGAAATATGTCATTTCCTCAATATCCTTATCATCAGCGCCAAATATTTTGAAGATTGCCAGGATCAAGATTCGTTTACTCTTTAGCGCCAACAAATGCCATTTGTTGAAGCGGAAGTTGTGAGTCTGACCATAAACCATCAAACAAAGAGTTTCCAAGTCCTCAGCCTCGTCATCATCCACCTGCATGGCCGGACGTATCTCGATTCTTGCAGCAGCAGTACTCTTCATAATCGCTGTGGCAGTAGGGCGCTTCATTATCGCTTTGGCGGCAGGGCGTTTCATCTTAAAAGAGAGGCGGCCTCAACATTACTATTGGGCAGGGTTCCGTCACCCTCAGATCCAACTATTGCAGCAATGAATTTGTTGACAATATTAAATTGCAAAGTAAGCACGTCAATATATCAGTCAGTGCAGTCAATAGCTCAGTAATAGCTCCATCAGTATCAACGTGTCAGCGGTCAGGCCTCTCAGTCATTCTATTGGCTGGTCAGTCAATTGTCTGAGTGAAGGGAGTGGGACAATAATAAATTTTAATATCAGCTTGAATACTTTTAGCACTGCAAAAAATGAAAAGTGTGAACGGACGATCGTGGATTATAACACACACATATTATTTGTTGCTCATTTCGCAGCAAGCATTATCATACACAGGGTGCAACTAAGTTGGAGCTCAAACCTCACACCATGGTGGCAGAGTTTCAGAAATCTCTGGCAAGATCGAATGTTCCAATGCCACAAGAGCTTCAATGATGTATTCTTTGATGTATCACCTTCGTAGCGATTTTCTCTTTCTCAAAACCTGGAGTTTCGTTCCATGGCATTTTCTAGTCCCAGGGCCAGAAAAAAAAAACCTCAGATCAAAAAATTGTACAGCCAAAAACATAAAAAGTATATAACAATACCGGAAAATGTTTCCTATACCCGTACGGCTAATAACCTGTCAAAAGAGCAAGATCACGTCCCATGGGATACTATCCACCAAGTTAACCAATTAAATAAACTCTATATATAAAAAAAAATATATGGCCAAACCGATACAGCCAAATCACACACCAGTAAACCACACCGGCCTTAAGCCAACAATCACAACCAATCGGACAAACCAATAACCGGCAAACAAATTTAACCAGCAGACAATCAATCAAACACCAACAAAACGAACAAAACAAAAGCAAAACAATAATGCAATACAATATAAGCAAAATAAAATAAATAAGCAAGTTCAAAAAAATATAAATTCAAACAAACAATAAACCAACAGCCGGCAAACACATTTAACCACACAACAAAAAATAAAACAAAGCAATAATATAATATAACATAAGAAAAATAAAACAAACAAACAACATATAAATATAAACAAGCACAAGCATAAACAAAAACAAAAGCAATATATATATATTCCAAGACATAATTAAATAAAGCATAATAAAATATATTATTAATATATATTACGAATAATTCAATAATTATATATATAATATATAAATATATATATATCCAAATACAAATAAAATACACCACCATATAATCATCAAATATTTTTAGAATTTACGAATTATATAACAATTATATATATAATATAATATATATTTTTATTCGAATATAAATAAAATATACCATAATATAAAATTTAAATATATTAATCAAATAATTTTAAAATTTTTAAAGTATCTAATAAATATATATATATAATTTATATTATATTTGTGTCCGAATATAGATAAAACATATTATCATATATAAAATTTAAATGTATTCGTCAAATATTTTTATAGGATTTTTTTCGAAAACAGAATTAATTCTTTAATCATCATACGTATTACATGCATACTCAGAACAGTACAACATATGCCGAAAAATATAATTTTCAATCGATCAATAGATTAATCCTTGACAATTTAACAGCTTTATATTTCCCCAAACGTAATATATGTAAAAGGGTTAGGGGCATAATGCAAATACGCCGTTGTTGCATCGATCCACCAGCTCTTTTTGTCCCAGCCCATCCGTTCCTACGTCAACTCCGCATTCAGTCGCAGCAGGCGTCTTTGCAAAATGCGTTTCCCTGCGCTGCGGCAAGATGCTGCCGCCGCAG